AAAAAAAGTTCTGCCCATCAAATCCAAAGTGATTCGTTGCTCTCTGTGAAATCTGGACTTTCTATAGAATAACCTAAAGAGACTGAGCAGCTCCACACTGACACTCTCTGGTAGATTCATGTGGTAAAGAAACAAACTTGCTTTATTCTTGTTTTTATTATCTTACTTGATAATTAAAATATTCTCGTTTGTTTTTAAGTAACTTTATTGTCCATGTGTGTGAGAACGCGCTTAAATATCTTTCTTGCAGAGATGATGGCTGAGCATTCAGATTTGTTTTCCTTCTCGCGCGCCTTGGTATTCCAGTAATTCACTAAACTAATTAGGCAAGTTTCTCCCAAAGTCTGAGATCCTGGTTTGCAGCTGCAGCTCCGAGTCTCCTTTGGTTTTGGTTCCGTTTTGTCACGGAGCGCATTTCTCCCCGACTCACGCCGTCCTGTCAGGCACCATAAATGAATCCAAACAGTCTCCTGCCCCGCTGAGCCCCGCTGCTTCACTTCACAAGACTGGGCGCAAAACGCAACGCTCTGAGATGTCTGAACAAAGATAACTTTTAATTGAACAGAAAATGGACGCGTATTGTGTGTTGGAAACAGAACAGACAGTTTCAGTATCTGATTAAACTCCAAGATAAAATAAGAGTAACTTCAGAGATGAATAGCTTTTCATGTTAACTTTGAAAATCAGGATTCAGAAGTGATCCGTTATTTTGCAATGTCTGTGAACTTTTTTAAACTGAAAAAACTTGTGAAAAGATAAAAGTATGTCATTTGTGCGCGTGTGTTATTTTGATTTAGCAGATTATATCTAATTAAAAAATAAAATCCCATCTACATTCACTCTGTGATTTTATAGTTAAGTTTTCATCTAAACTCCTCCGCACTAATCTCTCTCTCTCTCTCTCTCTCTCTCTGTGTGTGTGTGTGTGTGTGTGTGTGTGTGTGTGTGTGTGTCGGATAGAACATCTCAGTGTTTTAGAAGCGACTTTGCCGGTCTGTATGACGTGATTTACAATGAACTCAATCCCTCACTCAGGTGTTTTTTGCATTCTCTCTTTCTCCAGTCTTTTACGGACTGGTAAGGGTTACTGACATGGAGCATCTTCCTTTCCTCTTCTTACCCCGCTATAAAACACATGCACCACTACACGCTGTTAAAGGTTTTTAGAAAAAGTTTATTTTTCAATCCTTATCGAGGTGATTAAAACACCACAATATAAATGATTTTTCCCCCACATTTATATTATTTTTTCATCCATTTTCTGAGTTTCAGAAGTGTCTCTGCAAAGACTAAACCAGGTCTGCGCGCTGGGGCATGCCAGGCTTTCCCCAGCAGGACTTGCGCACGAAGAACAAAGGGTTGACTCTGAGATCTAATTAAAATATAATTTTAAATAGGCAGCCAATATCCAGACTCCTAACATTTCTTGTTTCCAACTTTCCCACAGTAGTTTACAAGTTTATTTATTTATTTATTTATTTATTTATTTCTACCTTCGGGTCAAAACCACAAAAAAGAGGCCATATGCGTTTTTACGCACACTGCGACTGTGCTCATCTTCTGTTTACTGCCTTTAAATCGAGTTAGGCTGACAGTCCCTCAGTATCTGGGGCGTCTACCCCAAATGGATCTTGGGCACAGCCGACATGAGGCTTTAACCTTAAAAAGCAGCGACCTGGGATTGTCTTTATCTCTTTAATGACCCACAAGAGGCGCTTTGGGAGCTGTGTTGACATTTCTCTGTAAATTTAGCTCCATTTAAATAACTAAGAACCACCACGGCTGTCCGAGAGCAGACTTCCGTGTCTGCTTTGTTGAGATCTGTTTTGAAGTTGAGTCCATGTCGATCGGACTCGTTTGTCTGTGAGGTCCCGCTGTCACCTTCACGCGCTTTGGGTCGTCTTGTTATTAGAGTTCATTTAAACAGTGATCCGAYGCGAGCGCATGGCATGCTGCGATCAGTGCCGGAGCGCACCACACACACACTCATAAACACACASATTAATGTCCGCTGAGAGCTGACTTACCTTCATTAGGGGGGTAGATGATGGTGAAAGCGGGAAGAACGCAGGACACTAAAAGGTGTAAAATGAAAAAGAGTGATCGCGGATTGCAATCCATGGCGGCGGATCGGATGTACAGAACTCCATGAAGCCACTGACTGGTCTGGGAACGTCTTCTCTCCACTCAACTCTCTCCCCTCTCTCCTGCGCCGTCTCCCTCCGGTTGGAGCAGTTTTCCGCTGGGTCCTACAGAGTCTGACAGACAGCAAAACGCAGCTCAGGTTCATCACAGGTCAGACCTGGAAACTCATTTTATTTTATTCTTGGGAATAACAAACCTAGTCTTTCACATATTGTTTAAGTTGACTCAAACTGTCACCTCGAATGAAAAAAACAGAGGCTTGAGGAGTTATTAATTATGATGGGACTTGATTGAACTTGCTCTTTTGCAGCAATAATTCGAATCCTCTCAGCAAATATTTGATCAGTGACTTTACTTTCCCAACACAGGTCTATTAAATRTGTCTCAGTTTTAAACCAAATATCACAGTGCAAACGGTATGACCCAGTTAGAGCTAAAATGCCTTAAAGTGAGAGGAATTTAAATGTTGGCTGCATAGCTGTCTTAAAATTATACATAATAACCACTAAGGTTTAACTAAAGCACTGAAAGTCAAACAAAAAAATGYGCTATGCATAAAAATTCACATTTACTGTATATTTATTTTATTTTCATATGCAATTCAAGAACTAAACTAACAACCAGTCATAACCTTGGAACATATAGTGGGTGCTGTGATTGTGTATGAATTTGTTGGACCCTAAACACTCTTAACAAATTGCATAACACCAAATAAATGCTGTGGAATGCCAATTGCCAGTGCATGCTTGTCATACCTTGAATATGCAGCTTAAAATATATGGGCTGGACAGATCATTTACAACTGAGGTCTGYCCACTTTTTCATAGGTTTTTATTGGTTGTATACTTTTAGGCATAAGCAAAAACACTGTTTATATAACATTTATAAAACACAAGGAAATCAAAGTATTGTTTAAWCATGTCTCTAATAAAATATATTATGTGTGTTTTTAATCATTATTTATCTTTGGCCATGTCCTTTGACATCCATCAAGTGTTACTGCACCCTATGCACCCCTGCTTCTCACAGCCTGATCAACATTTGAAACTTTTCTCTTTATTGATTTGCAATATTGTTCAAAATGCATACATTTGTTATATATTTCTTTTATTGTAAGCCCATGCAATAGTGATCACCTATTGACAGATGGGGTTTTATTTATGCCCGTGTTGAAGGACATGTGACGTGCTTGTATTTAGGTCCACAGTGAACCACTTTTTGAGGAGGCCATTAGGRGCCCCCCGACACCTCAATGCTTGAAAGGCTGGGGTGGTGGTGTAACGTCAGAGTCCTTGCTGGGACACCAGCTGTTGTGGTTGGGGGTTTGTGAAGGCTGGAGGTTGGAAAGGCATGTGATATATGGGAAAAGTTAAAGGACGAAACACACACTGAGCGGAACAATACAGCTCTGTGTGGACTCCCAGAAAATCAGCACCTGAATTCAAATTACTTCATTTTGGACAGCTAAACTGAGATCATGCTTACATTCACATCACTTATTAAAAGTACATGAGAACAAAAGCAATTTATATATAAGGAAGATGAAACTTACAAAGTACATTTTATGTCAGACACAGTTTAAGCTAATGTTTTCACTTTTCTTTTTTTATTTTTCCACCAAAAAGGTGAAAATAGACAGCCATGCTGAAACATATCAACATATTATATTAATGTCTGTAATCTGCTATCAAACAGTTGTATTTTCAAAACAGCAATACTTTTATGCCTTGTTTTAGCATTTTGTCATGCTCTGTTATTCCTGTTGGAACCAATACAACAGAGGGTTGAAATAGCCTCTAAATTGGACAGCAAAGGTTTTGCAGTGCATTTAAAATAAATCTTGTGGAACAAATAACTTAATAGCTGGCTTAGAGCACCGACTCAGAGAGATTCATGACTCCTRGGTTGTCGGAAGATACGGAAAAGGATGATGCCAGGCGGTCTGGAGCTGCATTATTAAGTGACTGTGGCATGTGGATTTACAGCAGGTTTTAGACATGCCAGCCTTTGTCATACATCATCCTCTACATCCCACTAATTCACTTATTACACACAGAAAGAGATTAATATGAGAGACTCATACAGCTAACCATCAGTTCAGAGAATGGACATTATGAACTTATGCTGCAGTTCTTTTGATTTGATTCAATGGAAAACACATTATTTACATTAAAAAGGAAAATTGATGCATATACATTTAGCTTTATACTTAATGAGGGGCATGTTGACTTTTATTTCCTTTCAAGAAGAGACCACAAGACAACAAATATTCATAATGATAACATTAACATCCTAAAACTAGAAAATAACAGATGGTTTTGTGAAAATGCAGTGTGAATGCTGAGTTCTGACATTTGCTGAAGAAGCTGAAATTAAAAGATAAAAGAGGAAGCAATATCTAAAATCTAAAAATGGTAAAACACTAGCAAAAGGCAAAAAGAAGCAAAATGCTCACAAAGTGCAAAAGTTTATCACTACACTACCTCAAAGCCAAAAGTAGTAAAGGCTAGGTAAAAATAGTTACATTTTTGTTAAAATTGAAATACTATGTGATGAAAAATTATTAAAAGGGTTAACTAAAAATATCAAAAGACTTTAGCTGTAAGTTAAAAGTAAGAAAGAGCTGGCTAAATACAAAAGGCAAAAAACAGTCTAGAAAAAAGAGAAAGTATAAACCTAAAAGAATAAAGTAAAAACAAACTTTTAAAGTAATTAAACATATGTTAATATGGGAAAAGCATTGGTAAATACAGTTTATTTTATTATACAAGTTACAAAAACCATCCATCTCCTGAATGAGCTGAACATTTGGACATGTGAACAGCTAAAATTACACAGATTACACAAATGGTTGCAAAAATATACAGGAAAAAAAAGAAAAGGCAGGAAAACAAACTTTACACATTAATTGCTGAGTTTTTGTCAAAACAGCAAAGACAAAACCAAACAAACAAAAAAACCTAATTATTTGTAATGATGCGTCTGTGGCTGAAATCTGACATCTGATGGAACACTGGGCCGACATTCAGACATCACGAGCTGTAATTGTTTTTATTTGGCTGTCTGAGACACATCCTCGCTGTGTTTTGTTGTCAATAAACCTACAACTCACTTCTGACTAATTGCTGAAAATCTGTTCCTGTTTGTGGTGAATTGGAAGAATGTCTTCAGTCCCTCCCACCTTTAGTGACTCCAACTTTTTTTTTCTTTTTTTTTTTTCTGCTGTTCTCAAAGAGTGCTTGTCCATCTTGATCTCTTGCCAGTGGAACAATCCAGAATGAGAAGGAGGAAAATAYTGATTTACAGCCACAGCTTTAAGTCGTGGTGTGTCCCGACAAGGCCGAACAGAACTCCAAACTCACAGAACAGATGTTGTTTAGGAGCAGCTTTGAAGTTGCCAAGATCAGCCCTTACAGAGTAACGCACAAACAAACAACCGTAGACTGCTGTGTTTAGTGCCTTTCTGTCAGTGCTCTCTTCCTCCCTGCTGTTCTAAGGCAGCACATTCCTCCGTACTCGCAGCGTAGCAGAGAAGGAGAAGCCAACGGGTTGCTGGCATGTAACAGTACACCCCTCGTCCACCCACCAAACAACATACGATGGATGCTTTCATACATTTGCCAGCACCACAACATCTTTTCTTCAAGCGCTACAGGGCATTTTCAAACYGATGGTCACCATACAGCATAAATTAGAACAATGCCACAATCATAGTTGAATGTGTAATATYTAAAAAAACATATATAAGTTGAGTTCAAGATGCTATAATAAACATCAATCAACATCTTGTAAAAAATAAATGTGTGCAGGTAAATGTGTCCTATTCACACACCAAATAAAAAAAAAGCAAGTGCCCCTCTGCTTCCTGTGTTTGCACCAGTGATTAATTGGGTTACGGTTCATGAGGCAAATCCTCCCTCTCACCCACTGAGAGACGGCCCTGATAGGACTGACTGACCCTCCATAACAGGCCTGGTCCTGCTTTTTTCCGCATCTCTTTTTACRTATTTATCATTAGCTGGTAGATTTTAACAGGTCTGACAGTTAGATTTTGGTGTAAATTTGATAATCACCATCGGGATGAGCAATGAGTTGCTGCATCTATCCTTCTGCTGTTGAGTTTAAATTTGGTTTCAACTCATTTGTGGTGCTGAACAACTTTTCACATGACTTGATTCTTGATCAAATATATGGAAATAACTGTGAGTGGTACTTACAGTATATGTAAATGCATGATATACATTTAAATATATAAATATTAGGGGTGCAACAATGCATGCATCTGCACTGAACTGTTCAATACAGTACTGTAGGTTCAATAYGCATCAAACAATACASATTTTTAAAACTTATCAACTTGTTTTCTGAAGATGCTCTTTGTTGAAGGCTCACTGAATCTGCATTTGACTATCCATCTTGGCTGTACTGTCAAGCCCAGATCCACAGAGAAACTTGCTGTTTCAGCAAAATTTAAT